AAACACACTTGCTAGGTAACACCCTGTCAGCTGGGGTTATGGAGTGGTTTTTCCACCTCTCTGGGAAAGCTGAGGAAGGGAGAACCTACGTTCAAAGGTGTAGTCCACAGGTGGGTGTCCCTGCTTTTTATGTGTATGTCAGTCCCTGCACATTGGTGCCCAGCGTCATGCTCATGTCTCGCCGCAATTACTTATGCTTCAAGTAGATCTTATTCTCAAAGCTTTTATGTGTGTTGCCACAATGGCTCTCTTTTTTCCCTTGCTAGGTCTCTCAGCTACTTCATTTGCACTTTTATTTGGACCAGAAAAAAGGGCAGGTAATCTGCTGAATGCGTATACTAACCCCTAACTAATGTCTGCCTCCCCCTTAGACTAGTTTGAACTGTTTTCAGCTGAGATTGGTCTGAGGCCAGGTGCTGTCTGCTCTGCTTCCAGTGGGTAGATTCTACGTGCTGAGCTTTAAAATCCTGTCTTTGATCTCATCAGCAAAATGCCTTCCAAGTCCTCTGCTGGCAATCGGAGAGAATCCAGCAGCCAGGCAGGGAGCTTTGTACATGGAAAACCCATCTAACTTAGGTTTTTGCTACTGCATTGGCCAAGCTGCTGTGTTTGCTGTTGTTTTCTTGCTAATGGGTAAAGGGAGCCTCTCTCCCACTGCTGTCATCCCATTAGGATGATGGGGGTTGCAGTGGAGCTAGTGAGGCCAGGACTTGGCTCAGAAGAGAAGATGCATCTCTCCAAGCATTTTCTGATAGGTGTGGTTGGGAAGTCCTGCTGACACCATAGCGATAACTGACATCCTGGGAACATGCACTGCACCTTGTAGTGAGTATCTGCAGGATGGAGGCTGTAACATGCATGCAGACATGTCTGCTAGCATGGAGGAGAACTGCTAACCAAAGTGACAGCTTAAAGAGAGGAGAACATTAACAGATTTAGGATTTTGCTGGAATTGTGGTGAGTGTGACTTAGTGTTCCCTTGCCTGTCCATTAACTACTGATTCTAAGATGCAAAAGGCCAGAGGGTGCCATCCTGTATTAACATTGATCGTATTAAAAGCTTCTCTTTTATGACTTGACGTTTTTGGTTGTTGATTTGTGTCACTTCACTGTGCTGTATTATAGTTTCCACAGCTGCAAAGTGGAGTTTGTAGGTATTAGAAATGTTTTGAAGCCTAAATAACGTCTACAGAATTCTTTCAGATTGTCAGACCGAAGGTATGATAAAATCTAGATACTGTTGTTCGTTTATATTTAGATCATATTTAATATGACTACTATATAAATTACAGATTTTAAAAATATGTGCCTATTTTTATTTACCTAGAGCCTACGTAAAGCTATCTACATATCTGGACTATTTTTAATGAATAATTCCATTGGACGTAAACCCAGTTTTCCAGACTCCTAAATACATCTCTCTCTAAAAAGTTTTACTTCAAATGTGAATGTAAAGATTAATTACAGAGAGGCAAAGTAATGAAGATGATTCCAGCTGTTTCTGATGGAGTGCCTTTTAGAGTGCCTGACACCGTGATGACTTCAGATTTTGGAAAGGACTGAGATTTCTGATCCTTCCAAGCAAATATTGGTTGCATCAGTATTTGTGCTCTGGGCCCACAGAGACTAATGTTTGTTTCTGGAGATGATGGTGGCTGCAACATTTAGAGGAAGGGAGCATATAAGTTAGTTGGCTTTGAGAGCTCAGTATTTTGATGCTGTTTTGTCCCACTCTTTAAGGCAAAAATAAGGAAAGAAAGTGCTAGATGTAAAAAACTCAGGCATGCCTATACTACAGTTGCAATTCTGACTGAAGCAGATAGAAATGTTCCTAAACTAGTTTTAGATTAGTTACTATGGCACATGGATGGGAGTTTAAAATCAAGAAATGGCAATTTGACTTCCTCCAGGAAAAAAATTTAAAAGTTGTTTAGCACGGCTGCCATGACTATGCATTTAAGGCTGTGGTTGTGCATTGTATGATAATGTGACAGACTCACAGATGACAGGCACATATCAGGTCCTTTTCCTTTCAAAGCTGTCTCTGGGGCCTTTGATCATTTTATACCGCTACATCACAAGTTCCAATGCAGGAATATTAACATAACTTCTTCATTTTCAATACAAAAGGCTGCGTTTGTGTCATTTTCCCTGCCAGGTTGGTCTGACACATGAATCTCATCTCTAATCTGACTCATGCCCACACGCATAAATTGCTCGCTGGAATGAAGTGGTATTTGGGTTGGCTGGCTGAGCCCAGCGGCTGGGAGGAGGTTAAAAGCTTGAGCGAGGCTGACACTTGAGCTGGTGGTGCAGAAGGAATACAGCACTCAGGTTGCAGCAGCTCATCAATTGCTAACCCTCCGGATTTGCTGATCCGGTCATTCTGCACAGCAAAATATTTAGCGATCTGATTGCTCTCAGCTTGCTCTCGCCAGGGATCTGTCTGTTGTCGTCAAACCGCAGGGCAGGATGTCTTGTGTTAGCTTTAAACCGGTTGCTGAGAGCAGGGTGGCAGTGCAGGAATTCAGTGCAAGCTGGAAAACTCACCCAGAACTGCACTGCACCGAGTTTTGAGTGGGTGAGATCACACCCAGCTAACCAGCTTCCCTGCAAGGAAATGTCAGTATGCCAGCCCAGATAGTTGCACTCATCGACTGCAGAGTAGATGTGCCTTAGACTGGCCTAAAAAAAACCTTGAGATACCTGTTGGAGTGACAACACGTCCCAAGAGCAGCTCAGCCACTGGCAGGAAAGTAGCCAAAATTCAGGCATCAACTTTTGTGGCAGATCGGAGAGTGAGATGGGAAAAGTGAGATTTTAACAAAACATCAAGTCTATGAACTCTGTTGGCAAGCATATAAAATAAGTAAAATAAAATGCCTTGGTATACCAGCAAAAAAGCCTTGTTTAAAATACTTAGAAAGTAGAACAGGCTAATGAGAAAGAGCGTGAAGTAAGTCTGCAGGAAGAGCATGGTGAGTGTGTGGAAACTCTCTAATAGCCTGCAGAAAAACTAAAAGTAAAATGCTGCCAAACACAGTATACCTAGAGAGATCTTAAGAAACCAAAGATTCAGTAAAATAAAGAGAAAAATCCCAGTGCAGCTTTCTGGCTAGCTCCACCACATGACTCTGCCCTACAAAGGACAGTTCAATTTTATTTTTCTTAGATGATGTGTATTTCTACTGATGATGCTTTGGGACAGCACTGAAGAAGTTATCATCATATGCTGTTTTCTTCTTGCCGATGCAGAAAAACGCTGTCATCCAGGATGTATACCCTGCCTGGGGTTAAGTTGATGTACTCCAGAGTAGAGAAGGAAGTTTGAACCTGTAACAGATTTTTCAGTTTCAGGCTGAAAAGTTGGGAGACTGCTGATCTAGCAGTTTTCTTGGATGTAGAAAGCATAAGCTGTCTCAGTGACTGTAGTTATAAGCATCCGATGCTTTGTCTGTTTACAGTCCCTAGAAGTAAAGTGCTAATCCATTTGTATGGGGTACAGGCACTGATATTTCCATTACATGTGACAGTTCTGAAGTGATGTTGGTAAATCAGTACTGGTAAGTGAATGCATTGCCTTCCTGATGTATTGATGCCACTGCACTAGTGGCAGTATTGCCTAACTGCTTCAGCAAGGAATGTGTCCGGTCTCTGATCATAGATGATCAGGATGAGTCCTTTCTCCATGCCCTGCCAGCACCAGAACATACTCTCCACTGGCCCCTCACCTGCACCCTGGTTTTGTGGGGAGGATTCTCAAATCTGCAGCCCAGAGGGGAGCAGTGACGTGTTCTGGTCCAGCCCCAAACTAGAGACCTCTGGTAGTGTTTGGGCTATACTTCCACTTAGGTGTTGCTTTGTCAAATACAATTCTAAATGAAGGTGGTGTGTGAAATGCTATGCTGTGCCTTATCTGTTTTGTTAAACAGGGCAATATTTACCATTGTTTGCTATCTTCCTTATTTCACCTCAGTTGAAGCATCCATTGAATTTTTCCTAATTTACACTAGCAGAAATTATTTTAGAATCAGGCTCTATGTGTTTACGTCAGTATTTTTTTCAAGATTATATGTTATGAAGTATCTTTCAGACCCTCCACCCCTCAACAAAATGTTAAAAAGTAAATGTACTTTGTATCAGTTATGCTATTTATATTCTGAATGTCAGTTAATATAGCCAATAGAGAAGGATAGATAGGTTCTGTACTCATTGTATTTTCTGGCATTCTTACTTTATGGCAGTGGTGTAGTATGAGGGTTACAGAATTCAGAAAGAGCTATACTTCTAGTCAATTCTTTGACAGGATGTCGTTTTAATGAAAGGTGTCTTTCAACCAACTCATCCTTTACAAAGAACAGCTACATTCCTTTCACCAAGAATATGCTTGTTGCCTGATTGAGAGCTAGTCTGAAAAGAAAGAAAAATGTTGTCTTAGTTTATTTCTTCTTTAAGCTGCATGAAAAAAAGCACTGGAATATTTCTTTGCATTTAACAGTAACTTTTTATTATTTTAAAATGTCGAATTTTCTGTGCTTTGGAAATTCTGTGTGTGATGAGAGCGGCTCGGTGAATATCATCATAGATGATTAAAATAGAGTTATTTTGATGCAGGCTATTTAATTGTGTTTCTGAAGCCAAGCACCTACTTGACTCAGATCCTAGTGAAGAAAAGTACCTACTAGAAAGATAAAACAACATCCTGCTCCTTTAGATGTGGCCAAGGCTGCTCTGAGCTCAGATGGCTGCATTGAAGAATCAGAGATGTTTGCTGTCAAAAGTTTGAATGACTTTCTGTGTAGAACCAGTTACAAAGGAAGATCAAAGAGGGAAATGACACCTGTAACAACTCATTTTTGTCCTCTCTAGGTTACTGGACCAGAACATTTTTGCTCTTCCTGCTGTTCTGATGGATTTCAATGAGCTAGGGGGGAGAAAAGCTCAAAATGCATTATGGGGTCTAACTTTTATGTGTGTTATTTGCTTGCTTTTTTAACTAGGGACAGGGGGCCCTGTCTGAGAGACTAAGGAGCTTTAGCATGCAGGATCTCTCAACGATTCGTGGAGACAGCAGCAGCACTGTTCCTCCTTCGGTCACTGTACGAACAAGTAGCAAACAGAGCCACCCAAAACCATCCAGAAGTGCATCAGAAGGCACTGGCAGCTCAGGTAAGTGCCAGTGTTATTTTCAGTGTTGTGTTGTCTGGAATATCACGCAGCTGAATGAAGTCATGCAGTTGGCAGGAATATATAGAAAAAGACGTTGCAGGCAGCACATACCAGAATTCACAGGACACAGACACGCTGTTGAGTCTCTTGGCACTTAAGAGAGAAAACAGCATCATCGTTTGATGGTTACTATTCCTGGCTGGTACCAAGGGCTGAACTTGAGCATGCAAGGGAGCCAGCCTCAGTCTTTGCAACTTGAGCTGAAAGGTTAGGCCCTACCCTGGGGGCTGGAAGCTGTGGTGGGTTTTCAGTGAGAGAGGCTAATAGAAGTGCAAAAAGGGGGGATAAAAATGCGCAGTAGTGGGCCAGGGTCATAATTATCAAAGTCTCTCTCTCTTGTGTCATCTAAACATAAATGTGTGTTCTAATGGATATCTGGTTTGAATTAAGCCCACTTGTGCTGCTTCTGAACTGAACAGTAGCTGTTACAAGACTTGACAGTTGTACTTTCAGAACTTTATCACTGAGGAAACGAACTGAGAAATGAAACCCCTATAAAGCACTCCTAGAAGCAGAGACCAAGGTCTGACAGCTGTTTATGGTATGAAGGGTGTCTGCAGGAGCACTGTTATGGAAAACAAGTCTCTGAAGGGCAATGGTTTGTTTTCAAATTCTGAAAGGACGAAGGGAAGAAACATCACGGTGGGAATAAGATCCATTCCTGAGGATTTAGTTACAAAAATTTATTTCAAGCTTGGTTAAAGAAATCTTTGCGAGCCCAGATCCATAACATGTAATTGGAGACAGGTTTTCAGATTAGATCTCAAAAATACAGACATGGAGGGTTATCCCAAACAGGGTGTTCCAGAGGGGTTCTGGGATTCCAAACTACCACCAAAGATCATGCCTGACTGCTGTGATGAGAAGCCACAGAAAGCTGCAGGCGTGTTGCACTTGGTAGCTTGTGAAACATCTGCTGGCAAGTTTGAAATGTAGCAGTTTCAGCTTGTGTGTGTTGAGGTCACATGAATTTGTACCCCACTTTATTGCAAAATACTGATATGACCTGGAGTGTACTTTTATGCCTCAGTACTTCCTGAGGTCCAGAAAGCCACATATGGTAGAAGATGCTTGTGTATTTTAAGGTTGATACCTTAGAAGATTTCTTGTGTGGCTTTTCTGTAACACCTTACTTGAGTGATTAGAACATGTAAAATACCTGTGGAAGTGGATTGATGCCAGTTTTGCAAGAAGGTTTCTGTTTGTAGTAACGGTGCTCTATCTTGCTACTACTTCTGAGAAGTTTCTGGATAACTGAAAAGTCCCTTTTTATATTTTCCTTTCTTTTAATCTGTTCTCTGTTTCCCAGTCTAGGCATCTGAGAAGCTTCATGTAGGTGTGCTTGTATCTTGATGACTTGCTGATCTATCTGGGAGCCACTTTTATAGCCCTTCCTCTGCCATTTGTTCACTTAGGTGCTTCCACCCATTTCCCTCCATCCTCCATCCATTCCTACCTATCACAGTCCTCTGCAAGTGCAGCTCTCAAAGTCACTGCCTGAATTTACAATCAATCAGTAACTGTGGCAGGGACAGGAACCCGAAGTGTTATTTTGGCTGGGTGTGTTGAGGAGTGCTGCTGCCCATGGGGTTTGCCTGAGGAAGGGGGCATTGCTAGGCCACGGCTGACCTCACAGGTGGAAAAGCCAAGTGCTGCTGTAGCATTTGTAACCCTTTATGCTTTGGTGCTGGCATCCCCATGGCTGGGAGTGTGTGTGAGCATCACTTAGTCTTATGGGGGTCACAGTCTTTGATGAAGTACATACACAGATTGCCCATGGAAGTGCTTTTAAAGCTCCCTTCATTTCTCTCATTTGGCTGTCAGGGATGTACAAAGACCATAATTAGTTTAGCATCTAGCACAGGCTCTTAATTTTCTCAACGGGAGAAACAGCCATGTTAGAGAATAGCAGCCTTATGATAACGAGATGTCAAGTGGTACCCTCAGGTGATGGAACAGCCTAGCTGTGATCACTGAAACTGTACGGCAGTAAAGAGCTGTGGACTTGGGTCAAAATCCTGAGTTTTATCCAGATTAAAAACACTTTCTTGTACTATTTTTGAAGAATTATTTTTAACATAGACTGATTTGCTGATCCACCTTATATCCATAACTATTTTGGAGGACCTTTGGGGAGATACGTTTTGAGATCAAGAGGCCAGGAGCCAGCTTTGCTACTGAATGAACGATGCATGGAAGCAACAGTGAGGCAAAGACAAGAGCTCGCTCTTTAGAATGAAGTTACAGGATTTCACATGGGTCCCATCCCTTAAGCAATGAAAACAGAATCAGATCTTGTGTGCAACTTCTTGTTGCAACAGTTCCAGTCCTGTTGTGTGACACTGTTTAAGATCAATGTGATATCTGAAAGAAAGTGATTTGGAAAGACGGGGGATGGAGAGAGGTCTGTTAGCTTCCCCTTCAGATGAGACTGATGAAACTCAAGTTTGTCGGTATGAAATGCTGACACCCCTGTGAGCACCAGGGGTGGTGTAGGTTCTGGTTTCACATCTCTTTGGGCATGTTTCCAAGCCCACTGAAACCCATGAAAAGACTTTCCTGATGCTGGTGGGCTTTGGCTGTGGCCAAAATCTGACTGCAGGACCATGCAATACTCAGGCTACATTAAATAACCACTCAGCTTGTTTCATTTCCATTGTTGTTATTTTTGTAATGTGACTGGTGCTGGTTGGATGGATTTGTGACTCTGAATCCCCTCTTGACACAAAGCACCGTGTGAAGAGCTTGGCATTTAGTTAGTAACATCCACATGCAGACACAGCAAAGATTTATTTTTGCCTGTTGAAGGGTGTCTTATGAGGGCAAGAAATAGAATATGCAAGAGCTGCCTTTGAGACAAGGGGAATTACTCCTTTTCCTCAACCTTTTGCTGCTTTTTTTTGTTTGGTGGTTGTTTTTTTTTTTGCCTCTACCTTTTGCTGTCTTTTCAGTGGTGCCCACTGTATGATGAGCAGATCCCCTCCTCCAGCAGGACTTCTCAGTGTATAATGGGCTCCAGGTGTATTCACACCCGTCTTGTGGAAAGACCCTTGTCCTCCTCACATCCAGTCAAAAGCCACATGCAGATGGCATGAAGGAGCAACAACTGTGTCGTAGTTTAGGCTCTCAAACCAGGACAGGCTGCTTTTCCCATGATTTGTGTGTATCTACTGACCCCTGAGCCTTCCCAGCACATTATACGAGGCCTTGCTACTGCTCCTGTGAAGCATGTGCACACCTTCCTTCGACATACACCAAGGAAACACGATGATTGCTCTTCCTCCACATAGAAGGCCCATCACATGTTCTCTTTATCTTTTGCTTTGCTCTTAGTTCAGCCTGTCTCAATTTAGTCTCCTGGTACCCTGATGATATAGCCTGTGGTGTTTTAGCTTCAATGCGCGTTCCAACCTCTGCTTCTTCCACAGGCAGAACTGCCCCATTCCTTTGGGAACTGTAAATGTGGTGTGGCTACTCATTGTTATGGAAAACTGGAAGCTCCAGATCAACATTTCCAAATATTTTTCAATGCAGTCTGTTGTTCTGGCAATATCCAGTAACAATCCACATACAAATGTGTCTTTCTTAACAGTGGGGGGCTTTTGCAGTTCTTAACCTTACAGTATTGCCTTAAAAGCATTCTGGACAGTGCAGATAAAACTTGTTCCCTTGTGATGGCTGGTGAGTGACAGAAGTGACTTGAGGAGTGGGACATTGGCCACTATGTCCCATAGCTCAACCCTATAGCTGATGCAAACATGTCTCACAGTTGCTGATGTCAGTGAAAACCTCCAGTGTGGGCTGGGTACTGGAGGCCAGCCTTGCTTTTGGATGAGTCAATGGGACATACCTTAGTGGCAGGAGATTTGCGTTGCATCGTGGGGTGTTCAGTGTCCAGAGCTGGCACAGTCTGGGCCAGAGGATCCCATATTATGGAGCCACCCTTTGTATTGCCCAGAACAAGTGTCCTTTCTGCTTAAGCTTACCCCAAGCAGAGATCATTCTCAGCTGGAATGATTTCAAAGCAGAAATGCGGAGTGTGCTTTCTGATATTCTCCACTCCTCTGGGCAGGAGAGAGTCGAGGCTGTTTCTCAGTTTTGCACTTAAGTGCTGAAAGCTTTGCAGAACAGAACAGATGTGGGGGAATATCAGTGTTCAGGATATGTCTGGATAGTTCACTCCTCACCATCCAGAAAAACTCCAGAAAGATGTGTGAGAATAACCTGTGTGTGTATGTTGTATGAGCTCTCAGAAAATAAACAGTCATAAGACTGTGGTCAGCTACCTTCTGATCTAAACCCACAGCAGATCTCTTGTGGTTGGTTGAGATTTATCTCTTTTATACAAAGGCCATATTTTCACAGCAGCATCCAGTAAATGTGAGCCAGCACTCCTGTTGAAAGGGTATGACCCAACTGCTCGCTTCTGCACCGAACTGTCCTTTTCCTTGAACATGTTTAAATCTTATTTATATATGCTGACCCCAGCCAGGCAGCTGGTTCAAGTTAAATGCTGGTCCTTGCTTCCAGGATGGCCTTGACCTGGGTCAGATCCTCAGGCTTGTAGAGAGCAGCACCACAAGACATCAGCAATGGGACAAGGAAGGTGGAAGCAGAGTGCGAGGGGCAGTGGGACATGTTTTCAGCAGCAGCACTGGCTTATGCTGGTTTAAAATGACTGTGAAACTATGGAGGAACTTTCAGTGTCCACAGTGCAGGATAATTATGACCAAAGAAATCACACAGAGCTCAAATTTTCTGTTTTCACCAAAAGTTTGTTGTGGGTTGTTTTTTTTTTCTGGAGTCCTTGGTGCCACTGTGAGAATTAAATTGGGAATTATTTCTGGGCTGTTTCCTGGAACACAAGCTATCCATAAGATGAAGCTGTTAAGGTCACACTTTTATGAACATCTGTGAGTCTCCTGCATTTGTACTGAAGG